AAGATAATTATTTAGAACAAATTATATAGAAAGCTACTTATTAAAAACTGAGTTGATTCATGAGGCCTGGAGCGTTGGCTCAGCAGTTAAGTACACTTGTTTCTCTTGCAGAGGGCTCAGATTTGGTTCCTAGCACCCATATAGAGGCTCACAACAGTCCCTGACTCCAGCTCCAGGGTCGATGCCCTCTGCTGGTCTCTGAAGGCACTACATGCATGTGGCGAGCATGCATACACACAGGCAAAACACTCACACACATAAAATAAGATAAAATAAATATGGAGTCAAGTACTATTACTTAAAATATTGTTGTAAGAGGCGTTAAGCGATGCTGAACATTAAGACTTTTGATGTTTCTGCTGTTACCAGCTTTTACAAAGTAACAGAAGCTCATGAATGGAAGGACCACAGTAAGAGTCAAGCCACCACGTCATGAGGTGCTGTGGCCATGCACCCCGGATTTCACACTGATATAGAAGACTAAGAAGGAAATGGGAGGAAGAACTAGACCCAAGAGCAGAACTGCACGGGAGGGCCATTCATGACTCGTACCTTCTGATATAAGCAGCGATTCCCAACCTGTGGGTCACGACCCCTCGGGTCAAATGACCCTTTCACAGGGGTCATCTAAGCCACCCTGCACATCCCATATTTACATTACAATTCATAACAGTAGCAACATTACAGTTATGAAGCAGCACAAAATAATTGTACAGCTGGGGGTCACACAACATGAAGAACTGTATTAAAGGGTCGCAGCGTTAGGAAGGTTGAGAACCGCTGCCATAAGTGGTGGACTTCTTAATGTTTCCTCATCTCCCCATTCAGCCAAAACCCAAGTATTTACAGGAACTGAGAAACTTACCATTCTCTCTCCCTCCTCCCCCGCCCCCACATTATGTTTTCCAAAGTTGATATAAATGCTCTCAAACAGACACACTCATTTCACTGAGAGAAATGAAGCAGGGGGGAGTCTTAGAGGAGGTAACTGGGTCACACAAAGATCTCACACTGGGTTTGTAGGACGTACAGCGGGGACTCCCAACCTGCTAAACACTGGAGACTTAAACCATTCATCTCCATGTGGCCCTGAGAGTAACGCTCTCCTCCGAGGCCATCCATTTCCCAGTTCCCTCAGGCCTCCCGACACCGTTCTTAGGACTTCTAGAAGCTGATGGCTTCCTTCCTTCTTCCCTGAAAAACGGGCAATCGGACCCCACGCACCTACCGTGAGCGCCCACATCCTACCTCCACCCTACTAACGGGGGAGGCTGCCTGCTCCTGGCCAGCCTCTCCCTTTGCACACTAGAAACTACACTTTTCGGGTGTGCAAGGACATGACTCCAGTATTCCCCTCCATCTCTCCTCCATCACCTCTGCTATCATTTCCTGCCTTAGCCACAATCACTGCCAAGCCAACAGCAAATCCTTTAGGTTCTTCCTTCAAATTACAGCTAAAATCAACCCTCTCATCACTCCATCTCCTACCAGCTTAGACAAATGTGTGTGCTTGCATATAACTCCCCTCTCCTGAGAGCTCCATCACGGCCACCTTTTGTCTGGACCCTTGCACACAGCAGCCTAGCTCTATTCTGGCTTCCTTACCTCCACTGATGCTTAATTCTCAGTACCGCACTTAGAGGCTCCTGTTAGCACACATATCACCAGAGGGATGAGCGACTTACTCAAAATTCTAAAAATACTATTTTTAGAAACAGCTGTCTAGAAACAGCTATTTTCCCTCTGTTTCTCAACAGATATGGAACACTATTCTCCCTTCATTTCCTTTGATGTCAGAGGGAGAAAAAAAGCTAAGGGCTGGGAAGCCAGCTCAAATGGGAAGGGTGGTGGTTACGCCACATGGAGTCAGCTGAGTTCCCATCCCTAGCACCCAGGTAAACGGCTGGGCGGGGGAGTGTGTGCCTGCCTGTTGGGGGGGCAGATCCCACTGGCCAGCTGGCCCAGGCAAAGTGAAGTGCGCTTCACTTTCAGAGAGAGACAAAGGTGAAGAGAAAAAGTCAGTCAACATTCTCCCTTTCAGCTTCTGTTACATGTGCACACATGGGCCCAGCACCCAAACACCCACATGCAACACACACACACACACACACACACACACACACACACACACACACACACTAAGGGAAAATGGTAAACATAAAATTGCTCCCATTAAAAACTTCACATAACTCACTAAGGCCTTTCCCCATCCAAGGGAAGAGGACCCGGAGGGAAGAGGGTCCCTAACACTGAGCTCTCAGGAGAGGGGAATTATATGCAAGCACACACATTTGTGGCATTCAGCAGTTCTTGCCTTACCTAGGAGCCTGGGGGCAAATTTTGTGAGACTTGAAGAAAAGGAAAACAAGCAAAAGGAAAGTTTAAAGCAACCCTTGAGAGGAATAGTATCATTTTGAGGTGTTCTCAAGGTAAACACCTCTACAGCCCCGGACTCACAGCTGTTTATGAGGACAGTACCTTTGAAGCCATCCTCGTCTCTGTAAATAACAGCTGCATCTTTGCCTTGCCACAGACGGAACCTCAGAGTCACCTTGACTGCCCTTCTGATGGTCCTGTCCCCTAGAACTGTGTACTCCCTCGGCCTGGGGTGATCTTCCCCTGATTGTCACAGAGCACTCTTGCTACTTTCCAATTCTGAGATGTTCTTCTGTCCTGGAACTTCCTATCTAAAGGGCAAACAGCTCGCAGTCCTTCCCAGTACCACCGCGCCCATCTTCCATTTATGTTGGGAATTGTTTAAGGCACTGGCTCCCAGCTGGTCAGGGACTCACTGCCTGCTTCTCCCCACCAGAACAGAAGCTCCAGGGACAGGGATTTCATCTGCCACTGCTCAACCCAGGCCATCAACCACTGACAGGTGGTCAAGACTGATATTTGCAAAATGGTCAGGAATTAAGTTAGAACTTTTGCCTTAGGAAAGTTATCATTTAATCCTTGTTACCCACAAAGTCCCCTAATACATTTTACAAAGTCCCCAAATACATTTGGCACTAGCCGGTGCAATTCTAAGATCATTAAAAGCAATGGTCTGTTTTCTATATGAACGTAAAGGTGGAGATTATCTGGAGACTCACAGGCTGCAGTTGGCATCACAGTTTTACAGGATAGAGGCTTTTTATTAAGATCACCAACTCTGCAATCAGACTTTCTCACCAAGGTCATGGATTTCCCTATTATTTTCAGGTGGTAGCCTTGGTTAATCTCATAAGAAACTTGATTTCTCAAGTTCTATCCTAACATTTTGAATTTCCAAACAGAAGCCCTATCCCCTCAAAAAATTCAAATGCTAAAAAAAATTTTTTTAAATAAACAACAAAACCCCCAAACACCCAAATCGCTGCCTTGAGTGCTGATTTTATTACCATCCACATTGCCATAAAGCAAGTTCTTGGATTCAAATAGAAAGTTTAAAACCATGAAAGGAGTATGCAAAAAACCCCTACAATACTGACAGAGAGTAAGGAAGAAGAGCCACTGATATTCAAGGAAAGAAAGCCACAAACGGACAAGGTGGGTATCTCATCCCAGCACCTGAGTTCGAGAGTTCAAGGCCAGCCTCAGCTACACCAAGTTCGATGCCAGCGTGGGCTACCTGAGACTCTCAAAAACCAAAGCAAAACAACACTTCAACTGTTTTCTAGAAGTTAGCAGAACACTTTCAATCACTGGATTTCAATCACACCTCCCTCAAAAACCAAGGTACTCCAGAAATCTATACAAAAGCCACATTTTGTTTTTCCTTAGCTTTGCAGGATAACAAAACGCCACTTAATACCAACTGATGGCTCTAAAACTCTCGTTTGGCTTTATATGCTCAGCGGACTCGATTACAAGGCGTGTGTGTGTGTGTGTGTGTGTGTGTGTGTGTGTGTGTGTGTGTGTGTGTGTGTGTGTGTGTGTGTGTGTGTGTGTCCGCCCGCGCTAAAATCAGTACGTCCCACTCCACTTCCAGCGTTCCTACATCTTAGGCAACTCGGTGCAACTGCCGGAAAAGAAAATGGGGAGGGCGGGCGGGCGGAAAAAAATAATACCAGAACCAACCGAGAGCAGAGAGCAGAGCGCGCACTCAGGCGACCTCTCACGCTTGTTCCCAGCTTGCTCAATCCCAAGGACAGCACGCTCCAAGCGCCGCTCATTCTTTCCACACCCGAGGACGCCCGTCCACGTCTGCCTGACACCTGTTTCCCCATCCCCCTGCCCCGCACTTGCCCCTCCACCCCCCTGCTCTGCACTTGCCCCTCCATCCCCCTGCCCCTCACTTGCCCCTCCATCCCCCTGCCCCGCACCTATCCTCTCACCCCTCTGCCTCGCACCTGTACCCCCAATGCCCCTGGCACGCACTAGCCCCTCCATCCCCCTGCCCCGCAACTGTACCCCCAATGCCCCTGGCACGCACTTGCCCCTCCATCCCCCTGCCCTTCACTTGTCCCTCCATCCCCCTGCCCCTCACTTGTCCCTCCATCCCCCCTACCCCGTACCTGTCTCCCATTCCTCCTGACCCGCACCTGTCCCCCTGCCCCGCATCCATCCTCCCATGCCCCTGCCCCGCACCGGTCCCCCCCTCCCCGCGCCCCGCGCCCCCGGCCGCGCACCGTCGCTGCACTTGTACTGGCAGAGGCCGTCCTCGCCGCCCAGCAGGTCGAGCGCGGCGTTGAGGTACGTGTCGATCTTGTGGATGCCGTTGCGGATGGTCTTGAGCGTGGCCCTCCAGTCGGTGGTCTGGTCCTGTTCCTGGCCTCGCGCGGTGGCCAGCAGGAGCAGGAGCAGAGGCAGGAGCGCGGGCCCCCGGGCGGGTGACGGCCGCGGAGCCACCATCTATCTGCGCGGCCGGGCGGCCGGG